AGCATCTCCATTGGTACATCTCACCGATATAATGAGCGCGTTTAGCTCAGTGGCCAACGGGGCCGTTCAACAAAAATGGTTGTGATCCCGCTCCCGTGGCTCAAGAAGCCCTCGATACCTGCAGGGTCGGCAAATTGGTACCAGAACAGTTTTGGAGGATAGGAGCACTGACCCGATACATCGTTTGCCCACCAAGTTATTATACAGGATAGATATATATTCTGTCAACTTTAACGATGCTTAGTGAAATCGAATGCGTGGCGCATCCCTCAGGGATTGATCAACGCTGAGAGCTTTATCCTTCACCCTTTATTCACCGTCTCCTTCGAGGAATATTAGTCTTAAGTTGGAGAGCGAGCACTTTTAAAGCGTTTGCTACTAACTACTTCCTTCTTTTCCTTGTTTCTAAGCCCTGGATATATGAAAGCACCTGAAAGCTACATGGGAAATACGTAAAATTTCGTCATCTGGTGCGTTAAACTCAGAAGCCTTTGTTAAATGAGGGTAGGGTAGGGCAGTAGTCAGTTAAACCGTCGATCACGAAGCAAAAGCGCTATTTTGACCACCTCCTCAGAGCTCTCCTCTAGTCTACGTGAAACGCCTTAGCCCAGTTATCCCCAAGATTGCAATGAGAATCGACTTGACGAGTGTCCTACGATATTCATAAAAAAACGAAATCTTCAAGCAGAAGCTGAAAGAAACTACGAAATATTCGAAAAACACAATTTTCGGAAAGCAGCTGTCTGCGGTGGGAATCGACACCTGCGCTTAGGAGTTTTGCGAACATCTCATCTTCATTGTCGTTATATTTTATGTCATACTTTGCCGTTAAAAAGGAATAAGCAGTAGATAATAAGTGATTATATTCAAAGACTGCTGTGGAAGATGAGTGCGAGGAACACGAAGCGATTGCAAGAAATGCTGGGGTCCACATGGTAGATATGATAACGGGTCATGTAGAAGAAAAAAAGAACTAGCTGATAGATAGGGGAAACGAAAGGCCGGCATGATGTGGTGGTAAACGCGTCAGCGCCTGAACGGGTAGTAGCGCGTTCCTTCCCAATCGCAGACACCTGCGGTCCGGTGTTTTGCAAATATCTCAGCGACATTGTGGTTGCTCCACACGTAATACCCTGCCAAGAGAAATAATAGGCAGTAAATAAAAACTTGATATTGTGAAACAAAAAATTTTTAATTCATATGCAACGACGTGACCTTCATAGGAGTCATTAAATGTGGAAATGAGCTTGAACTTCAAATCAACAGATACAGTCTCAAAGTGAATTTTACTGATTGTGATAAAAAATATTAGATTCCAAAGATCTTTGCCTACAACGCTAAATGCTTTATTATGCCAAGATGAAGTTTCAATTTTTCGGCGCCACCACGTACATACATACACATCGCGATTCCGCTCCGAACCAAATCGCTTTGTCTTATGACTAAGTTTAACAAGCAATTTCTTCCGAAACCATTTTCATCTACGCTTTAAAGTCGTGAGAAAATTAAACCGATGGTGTGCAGTTGTTCGTACGGTCTTTCAACACAGACGATGTCGACATATGAGACAAATCATCTGATGATTTGGGAAATGTTCTGTTATAGCGATTTGAATCTCTCAAAGTGTCACGACGTGAATGCGAGACACTCTACAATGATGTGCACCCGAGTTCATCAACCATTGCCATAATTCAAACGTTCAATAAAGCTCTAAAGGTCCAAAGGCATTGTTGTTTAAGAACTGGTCATGCGGTCTATCATCGTTTGTGTTTATACGGGACTGTTCCATTAGAAAGACAGATAAAGATGGAATACAGAGATAGAGATAGAGATAGAGATAGAGATAGAGATAGAGATAGAGAGTGAAGGAGAGACAAGGAAAAAAGAGAGGAAGAGAGAGAAAGAAAGAAAGAAGGAGAAAATTGTCGTACTAGAAGACAGGTTTTCGAGTTAAAAACCTAAAGGGGATGTTTTCGAGTACATGATGATGTGTATTTGTGTTGTCGGGCATGTTTCACTATTTTTGGAACATTAGTTGGTTTTAATGGGAAAATTTCGACTTCCTGAAATCTCTCGCGGAAAGCAGGCCCCATGGTACTCGTTGTAACAAAATTTTACATTTTCGTCACCAGTAAACACTAGAGAGAATGCTTTGAACCTGAGGCCGTAGAGTTTCTGTAACCAGAACATAGTGTTTACAACAACACTGAAGGGTTGAAGAAGAGAACTATCAAGCTGACTGCGATTCACATTCTGATCGACGGTATATTAGTTACCTAAGGTTACCAGAAATTGGCATCAATAGTTGGTTACAGTACAACTATAGCGCAGGGTGATATAATGTATTGCAATAGAAAGCTGTTATAATAAGTATATAATGGAGATAGAAGGACTAATGCATTCATCATTTTAGTCCAAAAGCACCGTAGCAGCCCCATTTGCCGTTTTGTAAGCCTTCAACTTTTTTTTCACATCACGATTGTGAAGATCGTCAATAATGATAGAAAATAAACAAAGCAGTGCTAACATAACGAATTCGAGTGGAAAGGGCAGAACGCCCTCCCAAGATCACTTGCAAAGAAGTCGATGAGTTCTACTTCTCAGTTACCACTTCTTGTCGACTTCTACATGAGACATCATCTTATTGGCTAGTACGAGGTGTAGTGCCAGTGATTTGTGCTTATCACACAAAGCTTAGTGGCACAAAGAAAATGATTAAACGGCAAGCCACAGTTAAAAGCCTTACTGTTATCAATTTTATCAATTATTGGTCCACTAAGGGCTACAAGAAAGAAGAAATGAGTTCATTATGCTAGGAAAGGACTAGCTACGAATAGTTCACGGAATCGGGCAATTCGCCATGGTCAGAGAACTCCTGTCACTAAATGCCGGGAAGGTGACCCCGGCAGTGAATCACCCACTCACGACGTGGCACATGTGGGAGCGCACGTGCAGCTTGCAGAGGGCTGGAAAGCCCAGCTGCGTCGATTGCGAATTCAAAACCAGGCAGGAAGTCCATATAAAACTCGGCCGTACTTTGCACATGTCCAAATTTGAAGTACTGCAGAGCGCGTCGGTGGACATCAATCTCAGCAGAATTTTGTGGTTTCAAAAATTACCGGCAGAAATCATTTCTGACGTTTTTCAAATATTTTTGTTCCAAATTTGTTCCAATGAGGTATGTACATTATTTAGTGGAGGTAACTTTCGATCACTAATTCTTCCTTCTTCTGGTTTATAGCCTCGGTGCTGAAAAAGATCCCTTCTTTGTTAGTAAAAGCTCGTGTGGTGCAATGGTTAGAGATTACCCGCTATAAACACAGAATCGGTAGCTAGTTTGATCCCATGGTCCGCGTCCACCAAACTTTTTATCTCTCCGGGTTTTTTAAATTGACATCAGACTTGTCTGGAAAGATAAGAGATTAACTTGATATACCGATAGGCAACCGGATATGTGTTGTATAGACCAGACATGCATTTAATCATCTCTACGAAGCTTGATAGAGTCAAATGCAAGGCCAATTCCTCATGGTTGATTATACTTTTTCCTTTGATGGATGTATATCAGATAAGTCTGTAAATTCTATGAAATGATGTGCTGTTTTCACTCCATTAGGAATATAGAAAGTGCTGCTTAAACTTCACGAGAAGCCTCATAAAGGCATCTACATTTATCATGCAGATACTTTCAATAAAGAACATAACTGGAGTCCTGCTATCGAATAACATCGTTGACGAACAGTATTGAAGAGAGTGAAAAAACAAACCTTTCCTGTGCACTCTGCTTATGATGTGGCAATTGGGGACGTTCTCCTATGCTCTATCAATTTCTCTGGGACCCATGTTTCTTCGAAAGTTCTATTCCACGCATTTTACCATTTTGTTTAATTTCTCATGTATCTTTAGTTTCCTTCTCCTGCAAACAGTATACTGAAGCACTACCTAGCTGAAGCTGGCCTGTCTTCACATCATCTGCGGGTGTCAGCACTTTCTCCATTCGTTTCGCTCTCTTGCATTTATGTGACGTGGGAAGATTCGACTTTGGCTTCAGCGGCTTGAAGGACTTTGAAGTTGCGTTATGTCGAATGCCGGAGAAAGGTAATTTTACGGAGGTATCTACGTGCTTTTAGGAGTTTGTCGTTGGCAGCTATCTATCTAATCAGAGGTGTCTTAGCCGCGCTGAGAATAGAATTCATTCTGCGACAGCGATTAGTGCCATTGGGCGAACGCCGATCGAAGGCAATGAAACGGACCATCCCTCTTATCAAAGCTTTGGATTGTACAAATAGTTGAAGGCTAAGCTGCTCTACTTCTAACTAGGATGTTCTAACAGTGTTTCCTAGGTTTTGATAATGGCTATTGTTGTAGCCGAATTTGTGCCGACAGATATCGTAAATTCATTAACTTCCTTGTTGTTAAGGGTTCCCCGGAAGGACTGTTTTCGTGCACCCTTCCATTAGTATTGTCTTCTCACTTATTCATTAAACGAATTGGCCTTGCTATTTACCGAATTCGTCACCAGATTCTCAGTTCGCGACCTTCATACTACAATGGGAGTATCAAAACTACGGATCGTTATCGTAGTCTACTTTGACCACTGATTTCGAACCAGTGAGTAGTCGTTGATCGTTGAACGCGAACAAAAATTGAGAAAACAGGAGAAAAATGAAACTGAACTGATAGGAGGCTCAAGAATTTCGGGTGAAGAATGTGGATAGACGACTTCGAAAATATGAGTGCGCAGAATTGTTCTCACTATTCGAATGACATAAAAGTTTCAAGTAAGTAGACCAATGCAAAATGAACTAAGTGACTTAGTAAGAAGTATGACGGAAAAAGTGATGTAAAACGAGTGAATATCTCCAACGTCGCGAGGTAGAAAGCCAAGGAAAAGAAAGATCACGTATACGCTCACTTACTCGCTGAGAAATAACGTTCTTGCAGTTGATCTTCGCGTTCTTTCTCGTGTTGAACGTTACCGCGAATCAATGTGAATTCGTTTAACATAAAGCAACAGCGACAACAGCGAAAAAGCATTGAGACGTCAACGTTAAAGTGTCACAGAAGTAGAAACCGGCGATGTTGTGTTGCGGAGGAGTGAGGCCTTGATTAGCCGCGGATGGTGTTCGAACCGCCGGGCGCCGCAGCCGCGCCAGACACGGTGCTTCAGAACCAGTGTGGTGAGGCGCTACTCTCTTGGCACGGTCAAGTGCCGCCTTGCAACCCCGATCGTATCCGCACATTCCGACGACTCAACACCATCCATTTCCGAAAAAACGCGACAGGAATCGCTCTACGATTCCTTTGTCCTTGCTGTAGGTTTTCTGGAGAACGGTATTTTTGTTCAGTAAATGGGGAAAAACATACATGAATAACGTCGTATCAATTTGCAATGAAAGAGTTGTCATATTGCGAGAATACAAATCATTAAAAAGGAAAGAGAGTGGGAACAAAATGGGTGAAAAATTGTGTTAAAGATCCTAAGCTTCTTGAGAGGGGAGAAAATTTAGTGGCGAAAATTAGAAGCTATGATATAATAATCAATCTGGGATATCTTTGTTGCCTGGCGGTTCTAGAATGAATGTCGACGAACCAACCCACTTCTACGATCACTGCTTCCACTACCTTTTTTGTCTGGATTTATTCAGAATCCAATCATCACGTGATATTCGAAATATTCCGATGTCCGTAATGACAGGTGCAAAGTGGAGAGAGTTGCAAGTAAGCGACGGGATCAATGGCCATCCATTTCTCGGATTCGAATTCCTCTTAACTTACATAGGCTTACAACACTGATTTCTTTGTTTACTCTCAATGAGCTGACGCGATGACATTACACGACATTCAAATCAGGAAGACTAATGAGAAGTCTAATGGAGCAATTTTGTGCGACAATATGGCCGTTCTACTCTTTAACCCTAAGCACTAGCTGAGACATTATGAAACATCGAAAAGCAAGCACCTCATGTCGGCTCACGAGGAATATGAGAACTTAATGAATGCGCAGCTTCGCTTTCAGCCTCAGTGACGCGTGTGTTCAACTAAACCATCCCACAAAAAACATACAGAAGACGCCTTATGTGTAAAAAGTTGAAGAGTCATAAGTCTACCTACTAATGAAGCAAATAGCCAGTGATTACATAAGAGATGAGTGATGTGGTGCAAAAAACTGGACAAATGGTGATGTTATTGATCTCTATAAATGTAGGAAGACCATGATAGCCCGACAGATGTGCTCCGAACATTTTCTTTCTTCGTCCATTCATATCGAATTGGTTAGAGGTATCTTACAACACACAATGGATCAGTCGCTGATTTGGTCCCGAGACTCACCTAGATTTCCATAGCTCCGGAATTGACAACTTGGGGCCAAATTTATTCGGAAGGATACAAGTCGGTGAATTAATAGATTGGTAGGTCACATTACTACCGTATGGGTCAGATGTACATTCAATCACCTCTACGATACTATGTGAAAGCGAATGTATGACGCATCCGTCAAGGATTGCCGAGAGCTTTAACCTTTAACCCTTATCTTATTTATCGTATGAACACACTTTTTCTAACTCACAATAAGCCGTACTCTCTTTGCGTCTTGTGCTTTCCTCGTCGTACGCACTTCAAATTGACAGTAAATGTGGAATGTTTACTTCCTATTCACCTTTGCTAGTACAACTTTAAACGAGCGTTCGTAATTCCTTACACAATGTGGCGCACTACTCCAACTGCTCGTTCTCGAACGACGTGCTTTCGCGGGTTTTTCCACTGCTATCGCTATTTATCGTCGACTTGCTAATGAATAGCATTCTTGCTCTGAACCAGTCCAGCAGTGGCAATCACAAGAGCCTCATTAAGCGCTTAAGGCTTAATGATCGCCGAGCTCGGTTCTTGCCCACTAGAGACTGGTCGCACCAATTCAAAAACTCATACTCGTCGGTGAATCGTGAAGTCCGATCACCACGCTGAAGTGTTGGCCGAAAATTTGCTGGCTTCATGATGGTGAAGGGTGATGGAGTGGAGATAAAAGATGCCGGCTTAATGGACACACCTTTCTTTTTTAGAAAGACACTGTTTCCGGTAAAGATTGTTGGCAGTACATTACGACAAATTGGGCGATCACGCACACACGTATCTTGCACTGATACTTCCAATCACTTGGAATTCACCAGTTTACGATACTCTGTGTCTTCAGAAGACACTATATGTTGCATTCACAATGTTTACTTTTAACTTTCTGCCTTCTATAATTTTTATGGCAAAGTATTAAGCGAAAAACAACCACAACATTGTTGAGATATTTGCAAAACTCCGAACCGCAGGTGTCTGCGGTGGAGAACGAACGCGCTATTGTCTTTTACGGGAAGTAATACGTTCACCACCACACCATGCGGGTCCTTCGTTTCGTCTGTCTCTCAGCTATGCTGTCTCAACTACTACGTTAATATTGGATAACTAGATGTCTTTTATTCCACTTTAGCTAGAAATTCGGTCCAATAGGATAAGAGAAAACTATATATTCTTCTACTTGAAAATTAAAACACATGGATAAATGACACTTGAAAATGTTTTCCACGACAAAATGTAATTGGATAGAGTGAAAACGAACTTCATACCACGAGTCACTGTTATAAATTTACATGACCGTGCGGAGGTTCTTGTAATAAGGAGGTTCTATCTGGGACCACAGCATCCATCCCACTTCAATAAAATAAGCGCAATTAATTACATGTGGGCTACACTACCGTTTTTGTTCACAAGTTCAAATTCCGTCCTAGTTGATTGAAGCTGCTGCGCTAAAAGCAAATTAAAGGCATGGAAGATTTGAATGGCAAGGAAACGAGTGGCGTCGGCATGTTTACAAAACAGTCTCTGTAATTGAGTTATTCATCGTTCGACACGACGGTAGTATCAGAGTGGTACTATATTTCTTTTAACACGGCTAGCTAAGCGGAATGTTTGGATAAATTACACAGATGGTACTCATTCAGCTCCACATGACACTGTAGAGTCGGTTACTTTATGGGATTTTCTAAGGTAATTAATTATCTTGAGGTAATTAACTAGTTTGGGCAAGACTAAATAAAGTAAAAAAAGGTAAAGGAGATCTGCAAATAGTATCGTGTGGTACTTAGGAGCTGGCTTAAATCCAGAATGAAGGTAATGCAGTTATTGCTGCATCAACTTATTGATTGCATATCAGTACGCCCTTCCAAGCTCTGAAGAAGGCGATTCTGTTAAAATGACAGATACGGTTGTGCTGTATGTGTATTATTGTATGGAAGTAAACTATACTGTTTAACAACCTCGCGATTGCTGAGAGGGAAAACGACGCATTTATAATCCAATGCCGAGGTTAACAGAAAGTCGTTCCTGAGAGCTGTTAATGATTTCAATTAACTTCAACAAATAGTAGGCCTCTTTAGGTCCCTTGATCACTCTCACAATCCGTTCCCAAGCTCCTGAACGGCAATTCTGGTAAATCTATTTAGCAGTGGGCGCGTGCAGGGTAATGATTAGTGGTGGCCTTTAATACACATGGAATCGGTCGGTGGATCGACCCCGAATCATGGTCTCACCATACCTTGCATTTTCCTACTGTCGAAAAATGCGCACTAGATATTAGAGAGGATAAAAACACTGACTTAGCATGTCCGTAAGGTTCCGCAAGTCATTGCAGTTCCAGTCATCGAACGATGCTTGGCGAAGTCGAATGCATGGTCATCCCTCAATGATTGACCAACACCAAATGCTTTATGATTTATCCATATAGTATTGACCGCCATAGATTCATGATGTATTTTGATTTTGTTTGCTAAATCATGGTGGACCGTTCGGTCGAGTAATCGTAAGAAGCGCCACGGTCCTCAAAGAATCCTAGTCGCAAAGGAACAAAAATCTCGGTTTGGCTTTTGCCTTTGGTGAACACGTGGAGACGCTTCATCATTACTATTTCGTAATTACTGGTATAACCGTGCTCATACAATATTCATTTTCAAAAAAGAGAATGAGAAAGAAGAATCAATTTCAAAGGAGAGAAAACTCTAGATCCACAATTAGCAGCTGGAAGACGATGAAACAGAGGAAGTACTGAGATCCGAGCGATACGTAATGCTAGACTAACGAGCTGATTCAGTAAATAAAAATACCTTTCGAGAAGTTTTGGCTAAATACCAAGAAGGATAATATTCATGAACCACTTGGAGGGCATTCGATGAAATGAGGAAAGTTCTAATTGAATTAAACAAAAAGTATATAATGCTGAGATATTTGCAAAACTCCGGACAGCAGGTGTATGCGGTGGGGAACGAACGCGCTATTGTCCTTATCGGGGAGTAGGGCACTTCACCACCACACCATCCCGGTCCTCCGTTTTGCCTGTCTCTCAGCTCGTTCTATCGATCTTTTGCCATCAGCAATCACCTGTCAGCATTATATACTGGCAAAAGATCAATAGAACGAGCTGAGAGACAGGCGAAACAAAGGACTCACATGGTGTGGTGGTGAACGCGTTACTCTCCGGAAAGGACAATAGCCCGTTCGTTCACCACCATAGACACCTGCGGTCCAAAGTTTTGCAAATATCTCAGCATTATATACGAGTTATATTTCGCAACATACCCTGTCATTAGAAAGAAAAGGCGGTAAATAAAAGGGTTAAGATTGTAAACAAAAAGGGTTGAGATGTCTGGTAAAATGAGTATCAGTGGGAGAAAAGCTGAAAAAATAGAAGAAGAACAGAAGTTAGTCATTTAAACAATACATCTCAAACAGCTGTCGTCACATAGTATTGCGCGGTCACTGGAGTTTTCTTTCTTGCTCGACGACATTCATTGCAGTAGTTGAGGGTGGACGTCTGAGAACATCTTTGATACTTAAAGTGTTGTACATTGCGTTCAGCAATAAATCGCTTCCATTTATCTGAAAGTGACAAACATTTCTAGCGCTATCCATTCCAAGATTCTTATTTGAATCTGACGGAGTGGAAACAAATTTGGTCTAGTGGCTTGCTTAAATTATAATTGCTCTATGGAATTCTTTTTTGTTAGCACAGCTACAAAAAGAATCACTTCCACTTTTTAAGCAACATCGGAGTGCAGGATGCGCAATGGCTGGGAGACGCCATGTAAACAAGTGTAGTCGTTGCTTCGACGTTGTACTTAGTCAACGAAGCACCATATCGTTCTAGGGGCAGCAAATTCGTAGCAGACTTTTCCTCGAAAATTTATCGCCTATCCACTAACTC